GGTAATTTTCTGTTATTTTTGTAAACAGTTATATTTATTTACTAATATTATGCACCCCGAATTTTGTGCAAAAAAAAATAGAACGAAATGATTGTTAAAAAAATAAAAAAACAAAAAACAAAATAAAAACAGAACAGGACCAAAAATTAAGTTGGCGTAGTGTTCATTGGAGGTATCAAACTGAGATAATAGTAACGTGCCCTACAATCACTCTAATTATTTGGTCTCAAACTAGAGACTTTCCTATACCATGAGTACTAAAATAACGGAATTCACTTCGGGGCTACACGACTCAGAATATTCAGGTTAGAAACGATTTAAAAAAGTTTATTTTTCACATTGGTCCTAATCGAACCCAGGACCTACTCATAAACCATACACAGTGCAAACCGTTGAGCCACCGAGGTCGTCATGTTTTTAAAGTCAATAATGCCAAACCAAAAACGGACTGAGAGCACTAAGTTTTGTATAGCACAGAGGTAATATTGTCACAATTCGCGAGCTTACATTTTTAATGGTTCCCGCAATCTATTTGGCGGTAAAGCTTCGGGCTTCATACAAACAAAAAGCCCGTTTGTAACGTACTCTTTGTACATGGTGTTTACGTAAATACGCGATGAAATAACTGTACAACGAAAGAACCGAAATTGTTGTTTTTGCATAAAATTGGTCGGCCACGTGTATTTGTACACTAAAGGTGATTGTTGCTTCTATTTATAGAGACACAAGTTGTTTTGGAAAGGTCCATTTTACTTTACAATCAAATTTTTGAAATTGTTATAATTTTTGATTGTTAATTGTACATTAAGTGTTAATTGGACTCAACAAACTGTGTGAAGATGTTTTGTACTGCTTCTTGGGAAGAATAATTGTCCGTGCAAAAAATTGTCCGAATTGCGGAAAAAAATGGTATTCGGGTGGTACAAGGTCCGGCGAGTATGGAGGATCACCGGATGGTTTCTAACAGCAAGTCTTGTAGTCTGTTTCACGAGCAGTGTGAGATCTTGTGTTATCACGGAGCAATAGTGGTGAAGATCGATTAACAAGTCGGGGCTGTTTTGATGCAAGTTTCGCCATCATAGTTCGTAGTTCTGCACAGTAGGTATTTGGAGTTATTGCTTGACCAGATCTGAGGACGCTGTAGTAAATTACACCATAAAGTGACCACCAAACCGTTACCATCACCTTTCTATAGGTAAGCTTCGCTTTAGAGCACTGTTGTGGTGTTTGACCTGAAGTCAGCTATTGCGTTGTTCCCTTACGATCATCGTAAAGAATCCACTTTTGTTATACGTCACAATTCGGTCCAAAATCCCTCTATTTCAGTACTGATTTAACAGGGTAAGGCAAGCTCCAAGGCGCGCTATTCTGCTCTGCAAACCAGTCAAATCATGCGGTACCCATTTTTCAAATTTTTTAATTTTACCAATTTACTGTAAATGGGTCAATATTGTGGATATGCTAACATCAAACCATGCCTATATCCACTTCAAACTCAGCACTGACATTACATTACGAGCAGTTTCTGCTGCGTTTGTCCCACGTCGGACTCGTATTCGAAAATTACTCTGATTTTCGCTGTATCCATCTTCACTTTAAAAGCTCAATGTAAAAACAATTGAAAGTCGAACAATCACATTTCGGTTCTTTTTTTAATTAAGAATGTTATAGATTTCGTGTGAAAAAAGTTTATCTCTGAAATCTGACACCATCCAGGGTTAATTTTAATTGAAAGTAGCAAGTGCAATAAATCCGCAATTTCATATTTAAGCCCTTATTATTATTATTATGTACTGTACTTATCATGTTTTAAGTGACATATTTTCTAAACCAAAAAAGATCTATTTGAGATATAAACCGTAGCACCACTGTTACATACGCCTACGTCGTAGTAGCTACCGCGTAGCGTTCCATATAGCTCTATCTGAAATTGCTACACGCCTACGCTGTGGCTGTGTACGGTTACGTACTTTCGAGCGGAATTTTTAAATAGCTTTTCCATGATTTTTGTTAGTCTTTAAATATTGTTTTAAGTTTGTTACCTTACTTTTACAATACTTAAAAGTTTGTATAATCTTTGTGAGCACAATCTTCATGTCACAAAAAATTTAAGTTAATATTTGTTGGTGTCAACGTTTTTAGCGTTTAATCAGACATTACTTCTTTTTCCCTTCTTTTAAAGATCTCAATGTGAAAGAAAAACAAACAAACCCGTATAACACGTCAATTGATTTAAGAAGCGATAATATCACATCGCAGTGCAAACCCAATAAATTACCCTGTAAGAGCATGCGGAGGGAAAATGTTCAAGGAAAGAGAATATATTGTCATATCCGATATTCGATCTTATTTTTATGAAACAAATAATGCACTTTCCAATATGCACCTGTAAATATGAGGTGCAGACGTTCTTTTATTATGTTACTAGGAATAAATTTAAGTTCATATTTGTATTAAGGAAAGTATAATTTTGTTTAATTATTCAAAAGTACATACATAATTAAAAGTTAACAAGTCAACAGACAATTTTACGAGTTAATAGCCAGAATAGTCAGCACCAGGTGTCAATTTTTCTCGAATATTCACGTTTAATTTGCAAATTTTATCATTTACTCTAACGACGAAAACTAAGCGTCAACAAAATGACAAACGTCTAGTATAAACACTCGGACTACGCCATCCATGTATTGAGCTAAGGTGGTGGTTCATGGGTTAGTCTTTCCACTCTGGGGAGATTCGTGTTCAGAAGACGTACGTAAGTAGGTTAATGACGGCGAACATTGTACACTCTTAAAGAAGCTGTTAATATTACTGAATAAGTACCAAAACCTTTCGGCCGTTGTAATCTGTCGCATCAGAGTTATCTGCAATAATAATAATAATTACGTACCAGACCACCGCACTAATTACCTGGTCTCAAACTAGGGACGTCCCTACATCATGAGTACCAGAGCAATGAAATTCACATATCACTACTATCAGATATATCAATTTGGTCCTAATTAAGGACGTCACTACATCATGAGTACCAGAGCAGTGGAATTCAGATATCAATTTGGTCCTACTTAGAATTAAACCCGGGACTTCCTCATCTAGCACCCACACACAGTTGGGCCACTAAGGTCGTTACATATTTTTCAAAGCAAGGTGTTTTAAAATTTCAATAATGCTAAGTCAAAAACGCACTGAGAACACTCCTTATTGTCTTTTACAGAAGTAATATTGTCGTCTTTCTTCGTGAGCGTGCTTGGTAACCAGTTTCGATAGAAGAATTACTTATACCATTGTATTTTGTAACCACAGCCGTTACTGCACGTGATTGATTCTCATTTCATGACATGTAACAATGGTTTTGACGCACTGGTTTTTATAAGCCTGTTACAGGATTAACAGTCATCAGTCTCCAATATAAAACATGGATAACATTCACTTAATAGTGTACAGTCACGGGAATTCACGAAAACAAATTTAAATTCTATTTTAGTGGGACAAACCCCATTGAAAGTAATGTACGCACATTTTCAAAAAAAAAAAAAGAAAAAGAAATGAAACACAAATTTGTCATATATATTCGTTTGTAATTTCGCTATGATAAAATATTTGTAGGCGGGAAAAAATATTTATTAATATTATGTATCTCTTAATTTATTTCGGGCCAATACCGCCTGCTCGTTTGAAAGGCTTGGAAGGCTTTTATTATAATTTGTAAAGGCTATATATGGCAGTTATCATCCCCGGTTGTCACCGACAGGCGTCTTTATATTATTATAGTGTGTACGGGTTAAATGGTACTAAACTGCGATAAAGGTAGAAGTTATAGGAACATATATTATATATTAACTAATTTCAACGTACATGTACTCGTACAATACTTACGTACAACCTACACGTAAAAATGTCATCTCAAGTGCACTTTAATTTCAAATCTGCTAGTCTCTACCAGTTTCGTATATATTAGCTGTATTTTTTTTATAATTCCAAGTGACGAGACGAGCAAGTCGTGCGCCTGGTGGTAAGCGACACGCCTGTCCATAACAGTTACAGTGCCACTCAGGAGCTTTAAATCTTAAAGATCTTAGGGGCATTGCCACTGCGCCCGTCACCCTGAAACAAGTTGACAAGTCCCATGTGCCTATAATTACACCAGTACCCTTACCCTTCCGAACAGGAACGCAGTAATGCTCTCTTTACTGCTTGGCAGCAGAAATAGGTAAGGTGGCAGTACTTCCCTGGACGAACTCTTTCACAAGGAGCTCTACTTCTACTTAAATCTTCTGCTACTAAAGCTTTATTTCTCTTTCATTACGAAAATTCTAACAAAAGCGTTCCTTCATTCAGAAGATTTTACGAGACGCCTTTAGCAGGCGAAATTAAATCGATAGATAAAATAATCAGAAAGAATTACATTCAGGAGAATGCCAATTTCCAATTGACTGGGCAAATGATCTGGCGGAATCATTTACCGAAAATTATGAATTCAATTTCTATTCAATATGTAAGAGATCCATCCGGTACCTGCAGAGGGGCAGAGATTAATAAAAATTTGGCCCTGGAATCCGCTGGGATGTCCCTTTATGGCACGTTGGTTTTTTATGCGAGCCCTTTTATTTTAATACTTATTTAGGTTTCGCGATTTCGTGGATTTATCGTTTTTCGGATAATTACACTGCGAACCTGAGAAAGAACGGTTTCCATGGCAAAGATGGTAAAAGTGGAATAAAGATTCCGAGAAAATGATACGTAGTAATATGTTGGTTTATTCGGTTGAGCGGTTAACATTACTTTTAGAATTGTTTCCGGTATTGTTGAGGTGTTACAGTTTGCATTTTGAGGGTTCTTAATCGTACCTCATAATTATTTGATGGGTTTCATTGAAAATGGTAGAAACATGCAAAGATACAATATGCAGAAGAGGCAAAATAAATGTTCCAGAGATACACGAAGTGAGTATTCGTGACTTCTGTTGCAGCAATGTGACGATATTATACTAGCATATATACCTTTTTCGCGGCGGAGTCCTGATTATTGTTGTCTGCGTGGTGCGGAGCGGCGGGCGCCATGACGGTGACGCCACTCTGCGAAAGAAGCTCGTCGGAGCCTCTCTGCAACAAAAAATAAAAATACATTAATATCACAACATCGAATAAAAACATTCGCAGACCAAAGACGAATTAGTTTCGTCTAACAACAAACTACTCGCATGTTATGTTGGCCTATTTTCCTAAGGTCTGTTATTTATTCCTCTATCATCACACAAAGAAATAACAACAAATAGCATGAAAAAAGCAATCACAATACAATAATCACACGTTTTTCAATCTCAGACGTGGGTGACCTAGATGAATGTAGCATTTTCTTCAAATAGTAACAAAAACAATTTCGCGAGTCGCGATGCCACGTGTCGCGGGGATCAATCTCAATTTAAGGCGGTGAAATGACAGACCTCAGCAGTTAAACGCACCGGGTAAGATATAAATCACACGGTGTATAATAAAGGAAATGTACAAATGACTGAGACAGGCTCGATACGTGAATTTTGCATTTTTTGTTCTATATCAAGATGGTAAAGTGATATAAATAGTAAGCAGAAAAGATTGTATACATGGTTATGACCAGATGGAAATCATAGTAACTAGATATCTAACGTCATCTTAGCGTGAACACCTCGTATGTGATTCTATGTATAATTTTTCAGGACGGAGTTAAAAATGTAGTAAACGCAATAATGTTTGTAGTTAGCATTTTAATTAGTTAAAATATACCTCTTTCAGATTTACTTTATTTTAATAATATATTTGAGCAAGAAGTTTATAAGTTTTTCTTAGACAATAATAATTAAAAAAGAAGTATATGTGAAAACGCGTATGTGAGGTATTCACTCTAAAGCGGCGCTATGTGGATAGCATCGCGATAGGTTCCGCTGGAGAACGTCCATAAAGTTTGCGCGTATATAACCAGGTTGTCAGTACTTGGTAATATGTATCGCACTGCTATTACAATAGTGTTGTAACTCAAAATATGTGAAATTTAATATTATATCATTTCAAAAAAACCGTCGTTAGAATATTGTAAGAAACAATCAAAAGATATCTACTTAACTCAAAATGAGACACACTTAATGTGAGATACTTCCAAAAGCTAAAACAATCCTATTCAAAAACATGAAATTATTTTTTTTATTTTATTGTTAAATATATTTGAGAAATTCTTTAAGTGTCTATAATAAACTATAACATATACATTTTAATGATTTTTTTGCGGGAGGTGAGTAATTCGTTTTTCTTCGATTCTGAGAAAGTCCTCTTTTTGAGTTAATACACTATTGTATTAACTCAAAAATTGTCAATCTCATACTTAATTGTGAAAGTGACCTTAAAGTTGTAAGTGCCCAGATGTCTCAACAAACAAAGGACAATTAAACAAAAGATAACTCGCTTGTTTACGACAATGTAACTAAGCCAAATGGACATACGCAAAAATATCGTCAAATTAATAGAAGCACTTTGGAGCCGTGGTAAAGACATAATTAAGTGTATTATTCGTGGGAAGACATCATCAGTCTTCAAGAGGTCTGGGAAACGTAGGGTGAAATAGGCAAGTACAGACGTAATTGATTTAAATCGACTATCTGCTCAAAATCAATGCAAGCGAGACCATAATTACAATCTTCGGAAATAATACCTGACGCAGTTAATTTGAGTCCATACGAGCGTTTCATTATCAAAACACTGTCTTCCAAAACATGGGTCTGGCAAAAAAGGAAGGATTATATTGAAGCTGAACAAAATCGAATACCTGAGGTATGGAAGGGCAGTTAATGTAAACTGGAGGGTAAGAAGGAAAACCATTAGGAAAAGACCAACAGACGAAAAGCAACCTCATACGTGACAAATAATTTATCGAAAATTACAATAACAATACACTATATCTATAAATCAGATGCCAGGAACGACATTATATGTATTGCTCGACGCACATTCAAAGTAGCTTAACGAGACTTAAATTTATAAGTTTATTTAATGTTTAACCACAATGAAATTCTCTCTCAACTCAATTATTATTGTGAAATTACTCCACTAGTTTGTTAAAATTGTTAATACAAAAATCGAACACTAAGAAAACAATTCCTCCGATCCGGCTTAGTTGGCACAGCGTCTGGCACGGTTTGCTGGAAGACGTTGGCTCTAATCTAGCCGGATCGAATTATTTTTTTTCGCAGTGTTCGATCTTCGTATGAGTAATTATAAGACTGTTAAACTTAAAGTGAGATAGAGCCGTGACAAGTTCTGAAATAAACTGTCATTTCGCAAATTCCAGATCAAATAACAAATTTGCAAATTAAAATTTCCGACTTACGATGTAATTTACGTCAAAAATCAAAACTCAGTATGTCAAAAGTCAAACAAAAAGTGAGTTACACATCGTACTCGCATCACGTTGGTAACTGGAGGTAAATTCGTATCACAATATTGCGAGTGAGCACAGTCACACCTGCCGTCTGGATATTTGTCATGCGAGACACTTATTAAGCCCGCACACATCATTCTTACCATTCGCCGCGAGAAAAATGACAGATGAGTGATCACGGATCGGTGACACGTGCCGCGTTAACCCAGTTAACTCCAACAACAGATGTATTCAAATTTAGTAAAGAATATAAACCTCTTTAATATGAAGATTTCTCAAGGTGTTTCATGATTACTTTGTTGTTACTTGTCTCCATTACGGAAGGATAAGGCCACCCTGACTGGGGATTTCTCGAGTCTTTGGAGAGTTTTGTAAACAGGTTCTCCGACGAGCCGGTTTCTTGACAGCCTTTAATTTTGTATAACTGAGTATTAACTTTGGTCTTTAGTATATCCAATCAAGAGTAGTCGCGTTATGATTGGTCATCAAGGAATATCTGCAAATAATCCTACCGATTAAAAGTTGACAAAATTACGTTCGTTATTATACATAAAGTGCTCAAAAAAGTTAAGAACAAAATTTATAGAAAATAATTTACTGACGACAAAAAACATGAATAAACCATTTAATAAACGGGACTAGGACCTCTATTTACAAAAATGCATAATATTATTATAATAAAAGACAGATTACGTTAACAGCGGGAATCCCATTATGCGGCATAAAGCTTTCATTGTAGAAAAAATAACTGTTTTTCTCAGAAATAAAACCAACATTCGCGGGGTCTTATTCCTTGGAGTAATTTCGTAGAGCGCGTGTAATAATTGCCCGAAATTAAATAACATTTTTCACAACAAAGAAACAGCGCGGATGGGAATTTTGAAGCGGAATTGCGGATTGTGTTGGAAAACAGCGCACAGTTTTCGTTTCCATAATAATTTTTCAACTTAATGGAGAATGATGTCAGCAGCCTTCGCTATGGGGATAATGTTGACAGCATTAGGCGCCCGTAACTATAAACATTTACATGAATATTGTCTTATAATCGCAACTATATGTTTCAGATCTCATTTGGTGACTACGCTGCCATATAAAGTACAAACATTACATTTCGGGTGGTGTTTACTAGGGTTTTCAATCTCGGCTTCGAATTTTTGTGCCAGTTTGGAGACTCGAGACTGATATTTTCAATTTCGGGAATATCGAGACTTACGATACTTAATCAAACAATCTACCGCACAAACAGTATTTTTTTATTGTGTTTACATTGACATGGCAACACGGTAGAGTGAAGCTTAGTGTAATATGTGGAGATTGACGAACGATCGTAGTAAAATCAAGTGCTATTCATATGAACCTACATGGCGTTTAGCCCTTTGTTACTTTCGTGTATAACAATTAAAAAATTACTTCCACAAATAACTTGAGTTATTAAAGGACTTGATTAATATATCATGTTTTGACTGCTTAAAGGTGCTTCATTTGAATGAATCTCAAAAGTCTCGAATCATCAGGATTTCCGAAAGTTTTGTTTTACGTGTAGCGAGACTTAAAACTCTGGTGCGTACTTATATTCCTATAAGACCCAAATGTCACAGAAAATAAAAACATTATTAATATTATTTAAAACAATAAGCAAACCAAAGGATAACAATAAATTTTGAATTCTGTAATAAAAATAATTCCAATAAGTCTAGTCTTGGGTTTGCATTAACGAGTTCAGCAAGTAAGGACCGATGAATTTCGCAAGTACGCCGAAAATAATGTGCAAAACAAAAAAATGAGTATATTCCTCTGAGGAAAATATTCTTACAAAACCCCTCCTGTCTACATTTAACTGAGTAAACAAGTACCAATGTAATTCAAAAGTACACCGAAAATTATAAGCTGATCAGAGGATGACAACAAACCGAAAATTCTGGAAAATAAGGATTTGTAATCCTTATTTGTGACTTTTTTTACAAATTCTAACCACGCGTCTACATTTCGCTCAGTAAATACAAATCGTAAAGTGCCAATGTAATTCGTAAGTTCTACAAAAGTAACTTCTATCACCTATGTAACGTATAATGTTTGAAAGGGATCGCGGCGAAATCAATTCCTTATATTGGCTCTTTGCAAGATGTATTTGGTTTTACTCTCGAAAGAAAACTGTACATCTTTTTCCGATCAGATCATACTCGAACGTTTCTCCAATATGTCATTTGAATGAACGTGATACAAGGGCTCTCATATCAGAATATCTGAAAATAAAATATACATGAAAGGTTTACTTAGATCAGACAGCCGGTCCGGGGCCCTTTTCAAGATAGTGGGGAAGGAATGGGGATATGTTTACATGGTCAAAGAAGTATCAAACTCCATTGTTGGGAATCAATAAGGATAATCTATTAGTAATATTAAAAAAGATGGGTCGGGACGATTTTACGCTTATTCCTAGAAGAGGTTTTATTCAATAGATTGATTGTTCGAGATGATATTATCATTTTGGTCAGATTCTTGAAAATAATGTATTGTACAATATCTGCGTAAAAAATACATAATTTAATTAATACAGTTATTTCTATTTAGATATCTTATGGAAACCTTTTTAATCATCTGCTATGATCAAAAAATTTAAAGACTATATAGATTATTGACACAAAGATTGAACACAAACAAAAATTCCTTTGTCCAGACAAAACTTGAATCTGCG